TTTGCTCTTGTTACCCAGGCTGGAGTGCAATGGCGCTATCTCGGCTCACCGCAACCTCCGCCTCCTGGGTTCAGGCAATTCTCCTGCCTCAGCCTCCCAAGCAGCTGGGATTACAGGTACCCAACACAACACCTGGCTGATTTTTGTATTTTTAGTAGATGGGGTTTTACCATGTTGGCCAGGCTGGTTTTGAACTCCTGACCTCAAATGATGCACCCACCTTGGCCTCCCAAAGTGCTGGGATTATAGGCATGAGATACCACGCCCAGCCAATTTTTAGTTTTTGCATAATGCTGTCAGGTCTCCGTTTCTTATTTGCATATTTAGATAAAATTTTACTTAGTTGAAGCTTACTGTACATACCCATTGTATATCAAAATTTTAACATATTTGTCTTATTTTTAATAGCACAAAAATATCATTGAATAACAATGTAATCTTGAAAAAGCATTTAAATAGAATTTCTGGATTCTCATAAAATCGATATGGATTTATGCCATTTGAAACAGTACGAGGCTAATGAGCACTTGAAATATGGCTAGTATGAAAAGAGATGTGCTGTTAATATGTAAAGTACACCTGGATTTGAAAAAAGTATAAAATATTGCAATTTTTATATTAATTACATGTTGAAATAGTGTTTTGAATATATTGAGTTGAATATATTGATTTAAATATATTTAAACATTAAAATTATTAAAGAAATTTTACCTTTTTGTTCCTTTTACTGTGGCTACTAAAAATTTTAAATTACATACATGGCTTACATTATTTTTCTGTTACACTGTGTTGATATAGATTATCACAAACAGCGGTGGGATCTTAAAATTAGAAAAGAAAGTAAAATTTTAACAATGAGGGAATGGTTAAATCATTTTTAGTATGTTTACTAAATAGAATATTGTACAGCCTTTAATACGTGGCCCCCCAAAATGTATATAATGTTATATTAGGTAAAGAAAGCATGGCCAGACAGCATGGCTCACACCTGTAATCACAGCACTTTGGGAGGCCAAGGTAAGAGGATCGATTGAACCCAGGCAGTTGAAGCCACAGTAAGCCATGATTATACCACTGCACTTCAGCCTGGCAACAGAGGTAAACCCAATTTCTTTAAAAACAAAACAAAACAAAACAAAACCAAAAAAAGGATGATAACAAAGCTATACAATTTTTTTTTTTCTAACTAGGAGAATTTTTCCAAAAAGCTAACTGGAGATATGTTCAGAAGATTGAATTCCAAGTGATGTTTCACTCTTTTCCTTTTATTTTCAAATTTAAAATAAAGTCATAAAACTTATTTTTATGTTTTATAAAGTTTATAAAAATAAAGCTTTTTATGTTTTATGACTTTATTATATCAAATATATTAAACTTTATATATATTTATGACTTTATTATATCAAATATATTAAAGTCATAAAACTTTATTTTAAAAAAAGTTACTGGGTGATACTGATTCATAGACTCAGATCAAAGTAAATGAAGGAATGGTGGTATATTAGTGTTCTCAATATGGTACTGTGTAACAGCCAACTATGTCTTCCATCCCACTGCTCCATGGGAATTAGAAAGTAAAACTTCAAAAGATAGGACAGTTGATAATATATATATTGTGTTTGTAAAGAATGAGATAACCTAAGTCTAAGGTCCTTCAAAGAGTTAGAGCTCTGAAAATCTTGCCCTGTTTAAATGCTTCCCCTTGCTAAGATTTATTTTTTTCTTTATTACTAGATTCATGATGTTGCTATCTAAAGTTGAGAAATTGTCAGAAGAAATCGTGGAGATAATGCAAAATTTAAGTAGTATACAGGTTTGCATTTTTTCGTACTTCTACTCTATTTGAAAAAGATAAAAGGAAAGAAGTGTCCCAGGTTGGAGAATCCAATCCAGGAAAGAGTTTGCACAGAGTATGTTTGACTTACTTTTCATGGGAATTTTTTTTTTAATAGAACACTATTTAACCATAATATTTTAGTAATGTCTGGCTTTTCACATTTAAATATAAATTGGTAGATTATGTTTAGTCTTTTTAGTTAATTTTATATATATATATATATATAAATATATTATTAAAAAATATATATATATATATTTTTTTTTTAGACAGAGTTTCACTCTCTCGTTGCCCAGGCCGGAGTGCAATGCACGATCTCAGCTCACCACAACCTCTGCCTCTCGGGTTCAAGTGATTCTCCTGCCTCAGCCTTCTGAGTAGCTGGGATTACAGGCATGCACCACCACACCGGGCTGATTTTGTTTTTGTTTTTGTTTTTGTTTTTTTCAGTAGAGACAGGGTTTCTCCATGTTGGTCAGGGTGGTCTCAAACTCCTGACCTCAGGTCATCTGCCCTCCTTGACCTCCCAAAGTGCTGGAATTACATGTGTGAGCCACTGTGCCCAGCCCTTATAAATTGTTTTTATTCAGGCATTTTAGGGCTTGAAATATTTGACCTAGCAGAAAAAGTTAAATATCCTAACAGAGTTTAAGTGTTTCAAATGAAGGAAACAAGTACTGTATTTTCACAAGATGTGTCAGTAATCTCGTATGTGTACAGAAACTGAACTCATTCAAGATGGCTTTCTTGTAGGCTTTGGAGGGCAGTAGAGAGCTTGAAAATCTCATTGGAATCTCCTGTGGATCACGTTTCTTGAAAAGAGAAATGAAGAAAACCAAAGAACTAAGTAAGAATTTATGAATTTTCATTGACAGTAATTTTAAGGATAAACCTATTAATTTGTCTCAAATTTAAATTCAATAGACTTCCTTATATATATCATTACTGGACATGTGATAAAAATACTGTTACCTCCTTTAAGAAGCCACATATCTTTCACCAGGATGTGTTATTTTGGGGATTCTGCTTGAATGTGAATGAAAAGACTGTACCTTGGAAACTGGTAGTAGGCTTTTTAAACATAATGTCCCCCTCCTTTTTTTTTTTTTTTTTTTTTTTGAGACAGAGTTTCGCTCTTGTTACCCAGGCTGGAGTGCAATGGCGCGATCTCGGCTCACCGCAACCTCCACCTCCTGGGTTCAGGCGATTCTCCTGCCTCAGCCTCCTGAGTAGCTGGGATTACAGGCACGCACCACCATGCCCAGCTAATTTTTTGTATTTTTAGTAGAGACGGGGTTTCACCGTGTTGACCAGGATGGTCTCGATCTCTCGACCTCGTGATCCACCCGCCTCGGCCTCCCAAAGTGCTGGGATTACAGGCTTGAGCCACTGCGCCCGGCCCTCTATTAATTCTTAATGTGGGATTTTTTTCTTCTTTTAGTGACAGAAGTAACTAAACAAAAACTGTTTGAAAAGAGTTCAGGACTTCCTCACAGAGGTAAGTAGTTGTGTTTTAGTTTATTACATAAAAAGATGTTTTCATCCCATTTTGTCAATTAAAACTAATCATCATAAATCTTTTTTAGTGGTTTTCTTTTTTCCTCAGAGATCCCTGTTCTGAAATGTGTTCTTTTAAGAGATCCTGAATCTCATTTGAAAAGTTTTATATTGCATTTAGCAGAAGATATCTGATGAGATCAACTCTCTGACGATTGAACTTTTTAAATGTCTTTTGAAATGCAGTCTTCTACATAAGATTTAAGTTTTGTCTTTTTATTAAAATTTCTTTTTGAGAATACAGACAAATAGGAGCAACAATGCATTAATATACTGCAGTTTTTAGTGTTGCACTAGAAGCATTAAGAGTTACTTTTTAACTACTATTCTGGAAACTTTCACATCATTAATGTGCTTTGTTCTACTATGAACTCTTATGCCTCTGAGCATTTCATAGTATGGAAAACTAAATAAACACATTTTAAGTTTCCATAGGAAGTACACATTCACACCTCAATAACAAAATAATCATAAATTATAAAATACTAAAACCTTTAAATTAATATAAGGTGATTAATAGTACTGACATGAATCCTATTTAGCAATTTCTGCAAGTGGAATTAGGCCTTAAAATGGGTGGCCGTGTTTGTAGCCTACCATTTTTAAATACCTATGACTGCCATTTATTTAGTACCTATAATTACTATATTCTCAATACTAGGATCAGCACATCTTTACAGCAATGTGGCAAGAGAGCTACACTGTATTGTCATTGTCATTATAGACAAGGAGTGAAGACACAAAAATATTCAGTAACGTGCCCAAGACTTTTACTTAGGTGACAGAGCAAGGATTCCAACCAAAGACCAGTCTGCCCTCAAAAATTCTGTTCTTCTCATTATTCTATGTTATCTCTTCCTAAAGCAAAGGAAATCATCTAATCATCCCAGCTTTCAGATTCAAACATGGCACATAATTGAAACTGCTTCAACCAATCTGACATATTAGCCTGAGTTTAGAACCTTTAATAAGCCACTGATGGGTTCACGATGGAAAGTGCTAGAATTGCCAGCCAGTCAGATTAAAAGGCCAGCTGGGTCATGGCAGGGCTGCAGCCATGGCAAGACTCCTCCAAAACTTATATGGGAAGGCAGCTGAATAGGCTTCCTGAGCTTTTCAGTTGAATAACTAACATCTACTGTGATGCCAACAATTTAAGAACACGAAAGGTAGCTCTTTCTTGGCAATGGCTTGGGCTGTCTTCTTTTTCAAAAAGAACTTTATGTCTGTATGCGTGTGTGTGTGTGTGTGTGTGTGTTTATATAAAATATATATATATTTTATATATATTTTAGAGACAGGATTGTACCCCGTCACCCAGGCTGAAGTGATGATTACAGGCATGAGCCAACACACCTGACCTCTTGTCTCTTACTTTAGTTGTGTAACTTGATTAGAATGTGTAACTGGATTTCAGTAGTTTCAATCTCTCCTAACTTGACAAATTTTAAAGGATCACATTGGGAAAGTGAAATGTTTATTATTTCCCAATTGGAAGAAATCTTGCCAATCTATATATTCTATGCCAATAGTGTGATTTCTTTAAAAATCTGTAACTTCCTAGAACTAATTAGAATTAGGCTTAACATAGTTGGCTTTTGCAAACAGCTTTGAGGAATAAGAGGAGAACTCTAGAATAATTAAGTGAACTGTCACTGCTAATAACATAAAAAAAATTTCTTTTTTTAATGTATACTTCATTAAAACATTTTTCCTTCTAGGGGATACTTCTGTCATTTCCTTATGGCCATCTAAAATACATCAATTATTTGTGTGTTTATGCATGATCAGCCTTGAAACTGTTTTCTATTATTAAGGCTGACTTGCCCATTACCAGATTTTTCCAAAGGACTGACTTCCTGCTTAGAGGAGACTGTATCACTAAATCATGTTTGTAAATTTCTAATAATTTTGATTATTTGTTGGTTTAAACGAAAACTCAGTTTAAAATATATAATACATAGTATCTAGATAAGTATGTTATGTATTAATGTGTATTACATTCTATGTAGTCGTCTTCCAATTCTGTTTCTTGGTAGGAGCTACATTAGCTCTTTATATTTCCTGAGGTATTAAAAACTTCATTAGCATTTTACCTAATTTTGGAAAATTCATATTGCCTGAAAAATAGATTAAACCTTATTTTTGTTGTAATTTGAATTTGAGCTATATAATTTTCCTGAGTGCTTTTCCTACCTCTTTCTCTGGTTCCTAACATATATATTAGTTCTTGAGGGTTTTTGTTTGTTTTGTTTTTTGGTTAACGATTATGTACACACACAAACATGCACACACATGTAAATTTTTTTATTAAGGTGACAATTTTTACCCTTTTCTGCTCATACATTCATTTTAAGAGGATTTTGCTAATTTTTTTGACATCTCAAGCTAATTTGCTTTAGTTCCTTATTTTGCAATCTGGCCTTGAAATTTCCACTTTACTTTTTTTTTAATTTATTCATTTTTACTATGCTGTTATGCAGAATTGTTTAAGTTTTAAAATGTTTTGGGAGTTTGTCATAATAGTAGAAAATAAGTAAAATAAAAATCATCCCTATAATATGTATAGGATATATTAAGGTAATTATAAAAATGAGAATAAGGCAATTACTTGTTTCACTGTCAAAAGAATATCCTTCAGATTCTTCTGGGTTTTTGGTGTTTTGTTTTGTTCTTTTGTCTTTCAGATTCTTATAAAATTTTCCTGGAATAGTTAAAATAAACAGTACCATGAGAATTTCAATATTTATGCTATCATTGCCTCTTCTAGTTGGTCTTTTAGTTCTACTAATATTATTTTTTCATTTCTGTGGGAATTTCAGTTACTTCAGTTGCAGTCTTTATTACAGTAAGAGTATAATTGTAAAAATAACACTCTAATGTTTTAAGTAAATAGACATCTGACACACATTCTTAAGGCTTTATGTAACTTATTCAGGAGAAATTTAAAACCCAATAAAATTAAAAGGCACACTGAGATTTTCATAATTTCATAAGAACTGGACCTGGTAAATGGGGATGCCTTGATGAGAGTATATGAATAAAAGATTTCCTCTGCTAAACAAAGATTTCTTAAACAAAGGAATACTTCTTTCTTCAGTTACTTAGGAAATAAGCCTAATTTTGCTTTCCTCAGTAACACTGGCTTTATGACTATTAGGAAAATAATTAAATGAAAGGTTCTTTTTCTGTTTGATTTGGATGTGAATTTTCATAATTATTTTAAATTTGTTATGCTGAAGATTTAAAACATTAAATTTAAAAGATTTATTCAGTGGGCTGATACAGATGGAATGTCACATTATCATCACATGGTGAGGCATGAAATTTATTTACTTTACATAATCAACCTCTTCTTAAAACAACTTGATACAGATATTCCTTAGTCAATAGACGGCATTATATAGTACATAACAGTTTCAGTTTTTTCTGAAGATATTACAAAATACCATCATTGTTTGTCTATGACTAGTACTTCCAATAAACAAAATGTTTTTGAAAAGAATGTAAGCAAATTGTAGAGCAGTTGCCAAGATATGAAATCTAGACACTTAGCTTCAGTCCAAAACGTATTGTATCTGTTTTGAGAATAATTGTGTAGGTTGCAGTATGCATATTTTAAATGAAATGCAACCATCTGAACTTTACATTGTTCAAAAAACTTGACTGTTTCAGCTGTTTGTAATAGAAAATATTTCAGAATGTCCAACTCTGGTCTGTTTTAAAAGGCATAAACTACAATGTTCCTCTTTTCTTTAGTTAACTTTCTGTATTCTTACATAGTAAAATTTATCTTGGTTATAGGATTTTAAAGTTATCAAATTCTAGACAACAGGACAAATTTAAAACTCCTTCTGTTCTAACACTATAAAATAGTTTGATGTTCATTCTAACCACCCACTGAAGTATTTTTTAAACATAAAAATATGTTGTTCTTTCCCCCACTCAGGCTTGAAAAAGTATTCATCATATCAGCTAAATAATTTCAAATCCCAGAAGACTACTACCCTTTTAGTTTTCTGTTTTAACATTAAACAGTATCTTTTTTCAAACAGATACTTCAATTTTAAAAGCACTGAGGTTTGAAGTTTAGACATGAGGACTTTTAGGAGAAACAACAGAAATTCCCCCTCTGCTTTAACATTCTGGGTTTATCTGGAGATAAAAAATGGAGCCATTAATTTTGATAGCACAAATATACATTAATGTACACCTATAGTCCTCAGCTCTTTATAATGATTCAGCTATCATGTATGCCATACGTGAGTCATAACCTTTCCTATTAATAGTGTTAATGCTCTTTGTTTTACACTATTCGTCATTGTTTTGGGGGATGCATTTCAACTGCTAAAAATGCTTACTTGAGATTTGTCTAGGATTTAAGTAAAAATATAAACTGGTTTATTACTTTTCAGAGCCTTTTAAATAATTTCTTCCATGATTTAAATTTTTTTATACTTTAAAAGAAGTGCGGTCATTTTTCTTTCAAATAAAATCAGTAAAAAAAATTTAAACTATAGATTTGGACTCACTTAGTAGCAATTAGATGTTTAAGAGGTGTAAATAACTTGCTATCAGACATTACAAATATCCAGGTGCTCTGTATGTGCTGATGACAACAGAATTGAAAAGAAAGACTGTAATAATTCTGACTGGTTTTCTCTGCAGAAGATATTGATTATTTGTGTGTGGTGAGAGATTTGGAAAATTCAATTAAAGGAGTTGTGCAAAGGTTTCATAAATTTTCCTTCTACAGCGTGTACACAGACATTGTTGCGTATTAAATCAATGCAGCACTTCACAATATATTTTCTTTGAAACATAAAAATAAATAACATTTAAACAGTTCTGCTTACTACAGAAACAAATTTTATTTTCTGTGAAGCATTTAGTCATGTGCTATCACTGACTCATACACATTTGCCAGCTGTAACAAATTTTATAGACATTTTCCCCAGAGACATATCTCACATACTATGAATTTTTAAATGAGCAAATGGTGAAGAAGGGATGTCAGCAATATAAAAATTGATCAGTTAAAAGATAAAAGCATAAGTAAAGAGATTTGTATGGTAGTCTTAATAGGTTTTATTAAATAAAAATACTATAAAAAGACAGTAATGAATAGACTGAAGACTGTTCTTGAGGTGGAGAAAAATTATTCTGGCACATTTAGTAGAAATTGGTTTTATGTCACCTGACAGGTGAACTTTTTTTTCCCATTTTTAACTCTCAGAGTAGTCAAAAAAGCCCCACAAAAAAGAGTTACATAAATTATCTAAGTGGTTTACATATTTTAAACACAATAAAGCAAATGTTTATCATATTATGTAACTAGTTATATAGTTAAAAGCAGGACTTGGTAATTATTAAATATTAGGTGGTTTTTCCTCCAGCTCAGACCTCAGATAAGAGGAGGGTAGTCACTTTTATTCATAATATTCATACCAGGTGCTTCAGCCCTCTGGAACCTCTCTTTGAGGGCTCCAGAAGACTGTTATTTTTCCCTCTACCTAGATTGCTTTCTTCTCTGTCTAGCAAACTCCTGCTCATCCTTTAAGGTCAGCCTCAGATGTCACAACCTCTGTGAAGCTCTCCCCAGCTCTCCTAGGTAAAGCTAAATTTTAGCTTCATCTTCTAGGCTCCCACAACACTTGTCTGAATATTTTAAATGTTTCATGTTGTAGTGCATTGTAATTGTCTGGTTACAGGACTCTTTCTGGGCTCCTCTTTAGCAAACAGACAGAAAGTCTTACCTGTCTAGTACAACGCCTGCATAGAAGGTCCACGTGCAGTGCAGCCAATGTGTCAATGAACAAAAAGAATGTTTTAAAAAGAATTCTCTAAGTATTTTCAGATACTTATAAATTGCTGTTTTCTTACTTCATCAATGTTTATTGAGTGCCTACCATGCCCCAGCCATTGTTCTAGCATTGGGAACACACTGACAAACAAGGCAGACATAGTCCTGCCCTCAGGAGTATACAATCTAGCACAAATGACAAGTAATTTTAGTAACCACAAAGAGTATACTAACAATGGTAATAAGCATGTATTGTAATAAATGTCTTGGAGGTTTTCATAATAAATTTGAAAACATTCTGAAATAGAGTCAGGCTAACTGTAGGATGTTGAAATGAGAATTTATAGCCTCAGTGCTGCTATTTTTAATGTAAAACAATACTTTAGGTTGTTTTGATTTCATTTTGATTCAACATTTATTCTGCATCATATACTGTGGCAAGTTACTTTGAACTGTTTTCTGAAGAAAAAATCTTTCTTCTTTTCTATAGAATCGTGTCATCTTGACAGCTATGAATTCCTTAAAGCCATTTTAAACTGAGGTACTGTTTCACCTTTCTAATTTAGTTTAAGGTTGTGAAATTTCACTGTGTTCTGTTTAGGTGGAAACATTTTATTTACATAATCAGATTTGGTATTGTCTTTCTATAAGAAAACAGGGATATGAGTTTTGGAGCTTTAGTTGAAATTATATTAATCTAATCTTATAAACAACAGGAGGGCAGTCTGACATCTGTTAGAGGGTAATTGGAAAAGAACTGTTGAGCTGATGAGGCTAACTTTAAAAGTCAGAGAGGACACATTGTTAACTGAGTGTAAAAGGGTCCTTAATGGAGCACCTTTCACATAAACAGCTAAATAGACTAGCTAAATAGATGTTGACAAGTAGATTATAGTTTCTGTAGAACACACCTGACTGAAGAAGATATAACCAGTCTGTTAAATTTGGAAATGTGCTAAATTAAGTAAATCATTATATATTAATTTGTTACACCTTGCCTTCAGAACAATTCCTATTGATTCAACAATACAAGTAAAAATGATATGTTTACAAATAGCTTATTATAATATATAAGCTAAAAGCAATGTGAGTCATGATATATTAGTGTTTAGTGTACCTGTAACTGAAGATTCACATTAAGAACTGGCATTAGGGGCTAGGCACAGTGATTGATGCCTGTAATCCCAGCACTGTGAGAGGCCAAAGCAAGAGGATCGCTTGATCCCAGGACCAACCTAGGCAACATAGTGAGAGACCTTGTCTCTACAAAAAATAGAAAAGTTAGTTGGGTGTGGTGGCACATGCCTGTAGTCCCAGCTACTCAGGAGGCTGACTTGGGAGGATCACTTGAGCCCACATGGTAGAGGCTATAGTGAGACATGATCACTGACCTCCATGACAGATTGAGACCCTGCCTAGAGAAAAAAAAAAGAATTCTTATCTTACCAGGTATGCTGCCTGCTATCTCTTAGGGAAAAAAATTAAAGCACAATTAAATAATTATATATTTGGAAATGGTATATCAAGTGATTAATATTAGCTTCCTGACAAGCTAGTCTTAATAGATGCAAAGCACCTTATATAGAAAATTATGTCACAGATTTTTATGAAAATGTTTATTCTGTTGTATGCAGTAAACAGTAGCTTATACTCTGTTGTTTGCAGTAAATAATAGCTTATAATAGCTAATATTTATTGAGTACTTTGCTTTGTTTTATTTTTTGGGAATTTTTTTTGAGACAGTGTCTCACTCTGTCACCCAGGCTGGCATGCAATGGCATGATCTTGGCTTACTACAGCCTCCGCCTCCCGGGTTCAAGTGATTCTCCTGCCTCAGCCTTCCGAGTAGCTGGGATTACAAGTGAGCACCGCCATGCCCAGCTAATTGTTTGTATTTTTAGTAGAGGTGGGGTTTCACCATGTTATCCAGGCTAGTCTTGAACTACTAACCTCAAGTGAACCACTTGTCTTGGCCTCCCAAAGTGCTGGGATTACAGACGTGAGCCACCGCGCCTGGCCCTATTGAGTACTTTCTATGTACCAGCAGTGTTATAAGCACTTTATACATATCCCATTTAATCTTCACAACTTGTGAGGTAGATACAGTTATTACTTTTATAGGTGAGGCAATTGAGGCACAAATGAGGTTAAGTACCTTTTCCCAGAATCACCTTCAACAGGGCTGGGATACTAAACCGAGTAGTCTGGTGCCAGAGCCTATGCTCTTGCCACTACCCAGTAGTAATCTGTGAATGTCAGGCTTCACTACTGGCCAAGGATTTTATATCCTATTAAATAAAGGTAATATATACATATTATCTTTATATACCGTATATGTAATAGGATATATATGTATGTATACATATATATATCCATCCACATACACCTATATTCATTCATTATAAGGTTAACATTTTATAAAATTTCTGACCCATGAAAATCCAACAGAGAACATATTAGATGGTGATCATAGATACGTCTTCACAATTACACATTTAGTAAATGAACATGCACATTTAGTGTTTGATAGTCTCCTTAATAAATTTACAGGGAATTCAGAGCACTGAGAATAGCTTTATGTTAATGCATTTTAGTAAAGATAACCACGTTTTGGGGTGTTGTTTTGAGTCTTTAAGTAATACTTTCAAGAAACTTAAAAGAATTAGGGTTGAGCTACCAATCAACTTCCCTTTCAGTGAGAAGCAAAAGGAAAAATGACAGTGAAATTAAGTGACTTCACCTTTGAGGCATCTGCCTCAGTTCTGCTTTTGCCCATGTTTTCTTCTCACTTTGAGCATTTTCTTCATCTCCTTCATTCCCTGACTTTTCACCTTAGTGTATATGGTTTCCAAATTATTTGTGACCTCCCTCCTGGATTATAAACCCACAATGTCAGCTCCCATACAATGTCCCCCAAGTATACTGATTTCAATATTTCCCCTTCAAAGTTGCTTTTCCTGTACTTTTAGGGATTATATCATTCCATTGGTCAAATTCTCTTTTTGTCCCCACATCCAAACGCTGCCAGATTATATTACTTCTGAGAATGCTTAATTGTCCTTTCCACACCCACTGGATCAGTTTATTCCTTTATTACCTCTCTTCCAGATTATCATTGTCCTTATTGTAACTTACCTGTCTGCCCTTAGGTCCCTTTCCCCTACAGCCTGTCCTGCTACTGGAAAAATGTATGCTTTAGAATATATTACTCTACTGTATGTACAATAAAATCCACATTTTAACTGACATTCAGGGATTTCCCTGATCTGCCCACAGCTTGCCTTTCCAGTTTCTTCATTGTGCCTCATTCACTCTAGATTACTTGCCATTTCCCAGGCACCTTCCCTACTCCAGAAAGTGCCTGTCTCGTGTCCTTACCTTTGGTCTTGTCTGCTCTGCCTAGCATGCCTTTGCTCTCATTTTTGCCAAAATTTTATCCGTCTTTCAAAACCTGCTTAGAACTCAACTTCTACATAAGCTTCCCCAAATCCCTTTCCCCATATTTTCTCATTGCCCTTTTGTGTATTTGTCATAGCTGCCTGACTGGTATGCTTAAGGGAGGATGTGAATGAAATTCCCGATTTTGTCCCTTTGCCCTAGAAACCTGACACATAGTACTCCTGATATCACTGTGGCCAAATTCCCTGCCTGCACAACAGCTCCAGTCCTCTGTCACACTTCAGTGATTATTCTTCTTGACCTGTAATTGTTCAGTGGGGAGGACTGTCCCATACAAATTCACCCCCAGAGCCTTTAAAAAGTGAAGGCTTTATGAAACAATGCTAGAATTAAGAGAGAAAGTTAGGGTGACAGCAACCCAGAGGCCACAGCCAGAGTGCTAAGACCATCAAAAGAAGGGAAGGGAAAAACATTTTGGCTAATGTTAACAGGGGATACTGGGATATTTTATTAACAGTGTGGATTAATCACTTGGGTAACAGAAGGATGAGACTTAGTATGGACAAAGCACTGTGTATAATGGCAGTTTGAAACCTAATAAGGACACAAGAACAATATAAGGCAAGAATGATAAATGATACAAGTTCAGACTCTTCTGTCCAATAACAAGTACAAACAAGGATTGTGAATCCAATGAGGATCAAAGTATCAACTTGATTTTTGATGGAATTGATAACCCCCAACCTGGCAAGCTCTGAAGTAGAAGCTTGGGGTAACTAAGGTAGATTGCCTTAAAGCAGAAATGCACTCTTCTTTCTCACACTAAGTAAATCTTGAACTCTGTGCACTTTCCTGAACGTAAAATCTGGATCTTTGAAATAGACCCCCAAGTCCATGTGGCTCTAATGCTGTGAAGACCACAGGCCTGCCTTTTACATGCTTGATGGCAGGTCAGCACAATAGAATGGGTTGGTCTCCCTACTACATGAAATTAGGAAGTATTATTAAAAAAAAAAAAAAAAAAAAAAAGGTCCACTGGGATTGAGAGTAGACAGTGATAGGGAAACTACAAGAAGGGAAGAATTTGTGTAATGTTACTAGTAAAATGTAGACCAATGAATGTTCTGGACTTTGACCAATCAAATTCATCACACTTCCATGGAGTGCAGAGGAAGAGTTGACAGACGTTTCTTCCCCTTCAGATTGAGAAGTATAAACATTCCTCTCTACTGTAAGTACCAGATGAAGAATAAGCAGTGTTATGGGAATTCACAGCATACATAGATCACCTCAGGGTGGGA